CTTTAGTTTTCATAAGAAGCCCATGGGAGTGGTACATTACATACATTTCACAAATTCACAGTGCTTCTCCAGTACAACTAGGATCACAGAGTATATGGAACTGTTCGTTTTCCTCTCAAGTCCAAGTATGCTACATCACCAGACTTAAACTCTTTAAGTGAGTTTTAAAACTATCTAGAATTATTATTATAATTATTTAATCAATAAAAAGGAAAGGATGTCTCCTTACCATCATACTTCCCCTTCAGTCTTATTTCTCTCACTTTAGATGTTGGTAAAATATTCCAAACTTATCTCTATGCCTAAAAGAGGCTTCAGATGTAGTGTTCTTTGGTTAGCCAGCCAGGCACATTTTAAATGACTCCATCCTTTCACATGTCCACTGAAACCTACTCCTGAGGCCATGTTATCCTTGTGAGTAGAACAGAAATAGGAGGAGGAAGGACCACAACAGTCAGGACCTTCAAGCAGCAAGCTCAAGACCACATTATACATAGCTGTCTCTGAAACTACTAAAAGGCATTAATATGGTGGTAAAAATTGGCCCTCACACTGACATCCACTTCCAGAGTCTCTTTGTCCATGAAGATGTCCTAAGTTATCTGAAAACGGTGGGTCTGGGTCACTTGCAGGGATGTGTACCAGCCCTAAAAGAAAGTGTTCAGTGCTGACAGGACTACTGTCCTGCTGTCCTAGAGAAGTGTGGGAGATGGGTACTTGGTACATCAGTGTCGCCTCTCTGGCTCTAAGTGAAAGGGGATGATATCCTTTGAAGGTACATACTAGGGGAAGGGAATGTAGCTCAGTGGTAGAGCACTTATTTAACATGCACAAGGCCCTGGATTCAATCTGCAGCACTGCAAAAGAAAAAACGGACAGGCAAAAACTTAGTTTCCTTTAAAACTAGCCTCGGTACAGCCTACCTACTTTATTAGAAATGGGGTTTTCTTTATTAGAAAAGCATTTATTAGAAATGCTCTCTACGTAAAGGCATAACATGAGCACTTGAGGCAGAGTCACAGCTAGAAAACAGCTGGAAACACTAGCTATTGACACCAGTCTGAGGCCAGGCTTCCTGCATGTGTGGTGTGCAAGAATGCACTTTCTCTACCTCCCCACCCACCAATGCCATCGAACCTGAGATATCAACCCATACCTCGTTTATGCAAAGGTCAAATTACCCCTTGGCCCTGCCAGTGCACACTTTTAGCCCATTCCAAGAGTGCAGAGACACGTATCTATTTGGTTATTGGTCCTTGTTAAGCTCTTTTTATTGCAAAAAAGAACATTAACTCTATCTTCTATCACACGGTCATTTAAAGCATATGTGTCTGTCCTTAATTGAGCACCTAGAGGAGTCACATTTGGGGCAACCATAATAGAGCACAATTTTAAACTATCAGCCCTATTTATCTGGAGGAAATTAAGAGAAAACTTCTATTCAAGGGGGACGGCTGGGAGGATGCAGTATCTACCCATACTTCTAGATATACTGATATGGGACCTCATAGCCTCAGATGCCCAGGCCTTTTGAGCGTGTGTGTGTGTGTGTGTGTGTGTGTGTGTGTGTGTGTGTGTGTGCGCGCGCGCTATTGGGGATTGACCCTTTGCACTGAACAACATCTCTGGTCCTTTTTTAACTTTTTATATTTTATTTTGAAACAGGGTCTCCCTTAGTCATTAAATTGCCCAGGTTGGGCTCATACTGTGAGCCTCCTGCGTCAGCCTCCCAGAGTGCTAGGACAGGCTATTTTAACCACTGTAGGATTATTCATGCTGATTGCTTATGATATTGTCAGCTTATATGGAGTATCACTGCACAAAACAGCCCTAGGAAGCCCCTTTTGTGTCTACTCTGAGGATACTGTTGAGACCATGTTACACCACCAAGTTCTTCTATTTAGGAAGGCTCTCAGACATTCCGAGGAGGACAAGGGACAGTTATAAATTTCCTGAGCAATCATATTATCTAATGAACACTGTGAACTGTGAAGCTGACAAGGTTTCCTAATTTCATGCTATTAAGAATGTTAGAATCCAAATACTATCCTCACATATTTTAGCTACTTTTTTCTTTTTTTATTTTAAAGAGAAAAAAAACCAAAATAACAACAAAGACAAAAAACAAAACAACATGAAAACAAAAATGATACAGGATTTCAAAACAAGATGACAGGAATTAACAATGGTTGTTATATTACGTATTATTATTTTCAACGATGTTGCTCAGATTACCAGGTGTAAGAATGAGAGATTGATCAAACAATTAGAGAGAATAAATTGAAAGGAACAGTTAATGTTTAAATTTTTTTCTTGACCAATTTTCCATGCTTATACCTGATAATCTGAACAACTAATTTGAAGATAACAATACGCAGTATAACAACCATTGTTGAATTCCTACCATCTTGTTTAGTGAAGTTCTGTATCATTTCTAATTTTATTATTACTTTTTATTTTAGCTACTTTTAAAAGGCACCTGAAATTCTTTCTAAAACAAGGTAATTGGGGTATTTTATTTCAATGCTCTCTATGTTTTGCCCTGCCAAAGTCACCTTTAACAGCCTGCAAAAGACAAGAAAACCTATTTTCTGATTAGGAGAAGCAAAGTTGCTTTTCTTTCTGCCTCTTAACAAGTCACTTTGGAATTTATGGGACTCTCTATATGCTAATTCCATAGGCTAGAGGCTACTTTGTTCTAGGAAACAAAGATACGATCATTAGACATAGTAGTTATTATTTCTCCATTCTCAATTCAGGATTCCAGCTGCATACTCCATTCACAAATCTGTGCTTATAAACATTAGTCCTTTATTGGCAGGAGAGATAAATAGGTGAGGTGAGCCACACTTAGAATAGCAACCCGTTTCCTAGCAATGGAGTCCTTTCAGCTAACATTCAGCAAGCTCAGGGCTCTAACCTGCTCGTTGTCTCAGAGATGCCAGCAAGTCAGTGAGACAGAAAGAGAAACCACCTTTCCAGTTACCTTCCAATGATGCTTCAGGACAAAACAACAAACCTGTGAGGGCAGCTGAGATGAATCGGTCACAGGAGACCGAACTTACAGCAGGTGTGCAGCTATAGCCCCACAAAACTCTAGCTCTCAGCTCCAACTCCCTACTGAAAATAATATGAAAGGCCTAGCTAGTTCCATAAATGCAGCAGTGGCTCAAGCAGAATGACAGCTATGCTGAATTTAGAGGTGATTCCCTCCAAAGGTGGAATTTCTCAAGGGCAAGGTAGCTGCATTGGAAAGGATGCAATTTTACCTCTATGGCCTTGGTCCGGCAATTGTATTCCTCTTTCAATTTTTTTCAAACATCACTATCATGTACTTTGCTAAAATATGCAGGATCATAATCGTCAGCCCAATAGACATTAGTGCCCCTCAGAAATTGAAAGTCCTGAAATTCAATCTACATAACTCACTTGCTGTTGGACACAGATAACTATCCAAGTTCTATTCATTGCTCCAATCAGGAGCTTTCTTATTTTTGGTACACCCACTGAAAATCTGAGTGTGGCATCAATTTATTCCATGTGTGGGGCGTTGGGTATGTTTTCCAGTCAGGTCCGGGGTGACAAATACGTCAGGCTGTAGGTGGGATTCAAAATGGGGTCCTGTAGACCCGCTGGAGCTGTGTGTTTTCAAATCTGTTTCCTTCAATTACATCTGCCTCCTTTTTTCCTTGGTTAATACAATACAGAGCTTCCAGGCTGATTATGTTTAAGTCTATTTGGATCCTTTGTGGAACTGGGAAGTAAATCGTCAGCTTATACACAAGGTGGCACCCTGTGATTCCAAGCAGGTTTGAGAGAAGAGATGCCGCTAAGGGGCTGAGCCACAGCTACACACTTTTATTTACCAGCCGGTATTCCCACTGTGGCAAGTGGAAAGGTGGAAGTAGGTGTGTGGCGCGTCCTCTCTGTGTAGTCTCCATTCCTGCACCTCAGACTCCGAGCTGCCTCGGCACGGAGCGTTGGAGCCACAGGACTGATTCCACTTGATGGTAATGAATGCAGACCCCACACTGAGACTACATATGGAAAACAAGGAAGCTTTATTGGTCCTAGGCTCATTCAGGGAACACATGGGGGAGGGGTGGAGGTGCAGTTCACATACCGACCCAATTAACTTGCAATCGGGTCTGCAGAAACGGAGCCAATTAGAAAGAACGTGACATTTACAAAACTCGGAAATAGTTGGACAGCAACTGTGTTGACTAGTTTTAAGGTTCCTTTCAAAAAGTAATTTGTCCATTATTTGGAAGCGGCGTACCCTGATTACCTTGGTTTCGGGAAACAGAAATCGGAGTATAATCTCAATTTTTAGTTACTTGGTATTTGCCCTAATTTAAACTACATTTAGACAGTGGTTTTATTTTTTGATATGACTTCAAAAGCGGTTCTAATTCTTGGGTATTTATGTATTAATTTGTTGTGCTAAATGCAGGTCATTTGGAATTGATCCAGAGTACATTTGAAGTGGACTGATTTTAGAATGACTATACTCAGTGTATTGTACACGGAAATTAAAATAGGCTATTAAGGTTGCATAACCATTTGATAAAGACATTTATGAGACGATGTACTTTAAAAGTTGATACTGTCTTTACCACTAACAAGTACAGGGATGTACAACAAATAGATCAGAAATAAATTTTATGAAAAATATTTACATACTTAAAATATATTTATGTATTTAAAATAAAAACTACTTTCCAAATACAAAACAGAGGCATTCTAGTTTGAGCACTGAATTGGAAGTCAGGAAAATGCAGAATGTGTCTCAACCGAAAAGTACTGCATTATGTCACAAACTTTTATTCCCATTTCCATGGGGCCAAAAGAACATGGAGAATTGGGGAGGAAATCTGTTACATGATTGAAGTAAAAGAACATGAGCAAAGCAACTATTACTAGAGCAAAACCTGGTCCTATAGTTGAATTTCAGATTTTAAAAGTTTCTTTCAATTGCTCTGATTGGTTCTAAAATTCCTATGGCCAAAGATCAGAAGCTGGAGAGCAAGGTAAACTGCATCAAAGCAGATACTGCCAGCAATGGCACGCTCATGATAGGCCAGTAAGATAAATGAACTCCCAGCGAGCTGAAGAGGGACGGTGTTGCTATCAGTAAGTATCTTCATGGAGTATGTCGACAAATTTATATTAAATACCTGTAGATGTGAGGCATGAATCTGGGAATTTAGCGATAGAACAGCTGCTGTTCCTGCTGTCTTGGGTTACTGAACCTTAAGGCTTTGGGTTGTACACTCTATTAGCCATTCATTGTAAGGTCTCAGTAATTTGCATCAGCAACTTTTTGTTTGTTTGTTTTTGGTACCAGAACTTGAACTCAGGACCTTGTGCTTGTCAGGCAGGTGCTCATGCTGCTCAGCTATAGCCCCAGCCCTGCATCAGCAACTTTAGAAGGCTGAATAGTTAATAAACTGAAGAGCTTGGGTAGAAGGGTAGAACCACTGGTAAAAACACAAGCTCTCGAGTCAGGATACATCTGGATTTGAACTCTGTGTTACTATTTTAGAAACAATATTATTAAATTATTCAAAAATTATCTGAGGCTTTCCTTTTGGTAAAATTATAATATTCGTTCTTATAAATAAATAAGAATTGCGTGGTTGTAAGAATTCAGTGGAATTCAATTAATATATACTGTAATGGCTGGTATGTTACAGTTACTCAATATTTCTCTTCCCAAGAGTAACGATGTCAAAACTAGAAGAAAAACCATCATTTCTGAACCCGAGAAGAGCCGGGCATCCAGTTAAAAGCCCTGGATGACTCATTTCTTCACCATGGCTTTTCTCCTCTTTCAGGCTTGAACGCAGTGACGACCCCCTCCTAAGGACTTCTCGTTCTTCCCTGCAGGGACTGGAACTGCTCCAGAGGGTAGCGCTCAGAGCAGGGCATGCCCATCAGCCCGAGGAAGGTACTGCTTACAAGAAATGAGTCACAGCGTTTCCATTGTTTCCAACAATAGTGAACGTGAGACGCTCAAGCCCACTAAACAACGCCCCAAGTCTCGCTGGGACCAGCTGGTGAGGTTATTCAGACTCGACCACGACGTCCACGTCCATCACCTGCCTTCCTGGAGGAGGTGAACAGGAGAGCAAGAGAGAGGGCAAATAGGGGGAGGAGAGGGGTAGCGAGGCGGTCACAACAAATTCTGTAGTTTGGACGGCACATAGACCTGACGATAGCAATCCACGTTTTCACTGTTTTCTTTCCACCGCTGGAATTTAGCGAACCACCTTCCCTTCTTGGAGCTTCCATCAGTTATTAGGAAACAGTGAGCTCGTCAGCGCTCCGTGGGGGTTTTGTGGGAAACCTGTGACGCTTGGAGGCGAAGCGAGAACCCGGGCACACAGCAGCGGCGCTCGCCGCCCCGCTCCCCTCCTCTCCGGGGCTCCTCTGCCCGGCCGGCACGGCGGCGCCCGCGAAGTCACCCGGTCCTCCGCAGCCGCGCTCCGGCCGTCACTCACCTTCCCACGGCCCGGGCC